ACAAAGGGGGAGGGGAGGGGCGCCACGCAGGTTAGAGGCGGGTCACCGGGTCACCGGGTCACCGAGCTGAAGGGCGAGGCCAAAGGGGCAAACTGAGGCCATGTTTGCTGATTCCTTCCTTCTTTGGAACACACGTCTTTCCCTCCCGCTGGTGTAGCTGTCATCAAGTCCCTGCGCTAGGTTTCTCAGCCCTCCCTCGTTTCAGACTCGACCCCTCTGAGCAGCACGGATCAGGGCCTTGGAGCACCACACCGCTGGGGCTTGTCCATGGGCTCCCGATCGGACTGAGGTGCAGGGTTTGGGGCGGGAAGAAGAGCCCACAGGTAAGTGGCACTCAGTCTCTCACAAGGCTGCCTGTGCTTGCGCGCCCAGTCACCTCTGCCGAGGCCACTGTCTCACAGCCACCTCCCCCTCTGCGGTGCAGCGTGGTGTGGCCTGGGCCTCGCGTGTGCCAGGTGGGCACTGGGCCCCAGCTGCAGCCCCGGCCCCGCTGTGTTTGTAGGAGGTCACTGCCTGTGCCCAGAGGGTAGCGTCGCGCTTCCTGCAAGGGTCATGGAGCGCAGAGCCGGCCACCTCGATCTCAGGAGCCACGTGGGTGCTGCAAGGACACGGGGAGCACGCACACAGCCACAGCTCGGCCACCCCCATGCTTGCTGTCCCACCAGCCTCGCAAGGTGGATCCTGTCGCTCTGCACCTCACTGAAAGTGGGTGCGTGCAGCTCCATCTTTACCGTCACCACTCTAACAGGCACATCGCACCTCACTGTTTTCCACGCTGCTGTTTTCAGTTACGTGATGTGTGTCTGGTAACTCAAGAGTACCAGTGAGTCTTTTTATCTGATATTCATGCCAATAATTGTTCATTCTTATTTTTGGTACCAGGGACTGAACTCAGGACCTTCTGCTTGCAAGGCAGGCAGTGGAACCACTGAGCTAAATCCCCAGATCCTTGTTCATTCTCTTGATGAACCAAAACGAAATTTGTTTTTCTACCCCCAGTTGGATTATAGGATGGGCATTTTAGAAAGTGCTTGTAGGGTAAAAAGAATGGCGTTGTCCTTCCTCCTGAGGTTTCCTTTTGCTTCTGCCTGGTGCCCGCAGGTGACTCTACGGACAGGGCTTGAACTTCTTGGGGTTCACCCAGATAACCTGCAGCAGGGCTGCTGTTTTAGAGGCCATGCTCAGTCCTCTGCTGCAGCCCTCTGGGGTCACCAGCAACTCCGCTCCGCAGTCTCACTAGCTTCTTCATGTTTGAGGAATGATGATATTTTATTTCTCCCATATACTTTAGTTTTCTTTGGGGGAAGAAATTGCTGCTCCCAAAAAGAGTTCTGACTGTCCTTGCCTTCTTCAGGTACAAAGAACCTTCTGGCTAGATGTGGTGGTGTGCATCTGTAGCCCCGGCACTTGGGAGGCTGAGGCAGGAGAAGTGCTTAAGCCCAGGAGTTCAAGGCCAGCCTGGGCAATGCAGCAATATGCTGTCCATAAAAATAAAAACTTTTGACCTATGGTGTGTCACCAATCCGAAAAATTACAGTAAAACCTTGATTTTCAAGCATAATTTGTTCTGGAAACATGCTTGTAATCCAAAGCATCTGTATATCAAAGTGAATTTCCCCATCAGAAATAAGGGAAACTCAGATGATCCATCCTGTCTGAATTTATATGAAAAATGTTCACATGAAATGATTATAATATTATAACACAAAATAATAAAGAAAATACAAAATATAAAGAAAATAAACCGGGTGTGGTGGCGCACGCCTGTAATCCCAGCACTCGGGAGGCTGAGGCGAGGATCACTTGAGGATCACTGTGAGTTCAAGACCAGCCTGGGCTACATAGTGAGTTCCAGGTCAGTCTCAACTACATAGTGAGACAATGTCTCAAAAACAACAAAAACAATAATAAATATATATATATATAAAGAAAATAAATCAACCAGCACTTACCTTTGAAAACCCTCGGGCCGGTGTGGAGACAAGAGGAGGGTCACTGTGTAGGACGACTTTCACCATCACTAACGGAGTCACCGCTCTCTGCGGGCTCCATGGAATCTTCTGCTTTTCCTGCAACTTTGACAAGGAACCTGTCCAATAGCGCTTTTGCCTCCTTTTGAGGGTTCTGCAGAAATAGGCAGTGCACAGTTCCACAAAGAGAGCGAAGAGCCACTGGCTCAGCTCTGGTCATGTGACACTTGGTGTCACTACTATTTGTGCTGCAAGACACTGCTTGTTCATCGAGTCAAAATTCATTAAAAATGTTTGCTCGCCCCGCAGAACACTCCCAGACCAAGTTACTCACAGCCCAAGGTCTTCCTGGACACTCCTAACAGTACCACCTAATCACAGAATTCTTCACAATCTCATATAAAGAAAATTTTATTAATAAAAAGATCGCTCAAAACAAGGTTCTTGCATACAAAGTTACCTGTTCACAATTGTGAAAAAGTTACTATTTACAATATTTCCCATACAGTACATGATAATTTTCTTTCTATGCTTTCATAGTATGCTAACTATACCAAACGTATCAGAAAACTTTGTTCAAGAAACAAAACTATGAAAACTCTTGAATATCTTGAAGTATGTGTACAACATGCATTTTGTTTCTCAGGACTACATTTTCCCCCACTGGACTGGCACTAATATTGCTAAGACACTTTTGTTCACTCAGCTATTTTGCCGCAAAAATGAATTTTGCATAACATCTGACAAAACTACACCATATAAAGTGTTCCTAGTGTTCTAAACATTAAAAAAAAATTAAGATGGGGGAAGTCTAAGCAACTGTAAATGGCTGTAATGCAGATGTGGGAGGCCATGGACATCAAGAAAAGGAAACCAGTCCCACCTGGCTTAGTTTATAAAAGAATAACGTTCCCTCAGCTAAACCTTCAGGATATTTTATTTCAAAAATTCAGAAAGAGGGGAGCAGCACAGCACAGGGGCTGACACCTCATTTCAGTTGTGTGGAGTTCAGACAACATTGAGACCTGAGAGGATTCCTACAGTAAGGCAGAAGTGGTTCTTCAAAGTTGAACACCTGTCACAAAACCTCTTGGTGTGCCAACTATTTTTATACTTAAGAATTGTTATAGTTGTCTTAGAAATTCAGTGTAAATGCTACCAAAGCAGTGCTAAAATATCAGAATACCATCATAAAAATATGTGAATCGATTTTCCAGGATCTCCAAAATATTCAAATACATATAAGCTTATTTTCAAATATAAATACTTCAGCAAAGAAAAATCTTGCTCTGATGTCAAAAAAGCGAAATAGCAAAATAACCCGAGTTAGAATTTTCATAAATAGGAGAGAGAGATGCCCCCAGCTCTCTCCTCCCACACGATGTAAAAATGATTAACCTGCGCGTTTCTGCATCCAGGAACACAGCTGTCACCTGCCTCTGTGGAAGAGAATCGCGTTGTCCTCGAACTCAGTTTTTTCCGGGTAGCTCAGGGGTTGACGCAGCACCGAGCACAGAGGAGGAGGAGGAAGGGCTCGGGGTGTCCTGGGGCGTGGTGGCGGGTCCTCGGGTGTCCTGGGCCGCGCCTGGGGCCTGTGTCCCCTGGGTGCTGCGGGGCTCCGGGGTCGCACTCTGGCCCCGGCCAGCATCGCTCTGGGGACTCAGCCTGGGAAGAGAAGGTAGGGGCACCGTGAGTCCCGCCTCTGCCCACCCACTGCCGCACTCGCAATGCAGGTAACGGACCTTGCAAACTTCTTTAGCACTCTGCACGGAGGTTGGACCGACAGCGGGCAGAGCCCCAAGGAGGAAGGCCAGTTCCAACCCCAGCTGAGCGAATCCCTTTCGGCTCCCCACCACCGACAAGTCACCAAGGAAGAGGCGCGAAGTGGAGGATAAAGTGTGTATCTGATTACAGTCCATGGTCCACAAAGGCTGCTGTGGAGCTGGGTGTGGTGGCGCACACCTGTAAGCCCAGTGCTCTGGGAGGCTGAGGCAGGAGCATCCAAGTTAGAGCCCTGCCTGAGTAACTTAGTGATTTAGTGAGACCCTGTGTCAAAATAAAAAATTTTAAAAGGTCAGGGGATATAGCTCAGTGTAAAGATACTGTGTTCAGTCTTCAATATTGAAAAAAACCCACAAAATAAGATAAAACCCCCCAAAACAAACAAAAAAGGCTGTGAGAGGTAAAGAAAAAGTGCTTTCAGCCATTGTGGACCAGCTAGGATAACCCAACAACTTAAAGTCATTTGCTCTCAGCATCCTGGCCTGTGTTTTGATTATCTGTGTCCATGTGGGAAAATTCATTAAGGAGGATCAATGTCCTCTCATGTTCAGAAAACAAAAAAACATTTTCCAGCCATCTCTGCAGAGCACCTGTTAGGCGGGGCTAGAATGCAGCATTCAGGACAAGCGGACATTCTGGGCAGAGTGTCCAGTGACTATAATGCTTCCAGAGAACAGACATCGCTCCTGCGGTGCGAGAGCAGCGTGAGATCCCCTCCCGGACCAAGGTAGAGTACTGAGCAGCTGTTCAGAGGCCGGAGCCGGCCTTCTCTGCCTAAACACTGCATGCGGTCCCCAAGCGCTTGATCTCCAGGTGCGCGAGACCACCGTGCTATGTGAAATAAACCAGACACGGCTTAAACAGCGCGCGGTTTCTCTCCTAGGAGAAACCCAAGGTACAAAACATGTAAAGAGCAAAAGAGGAGACAGACGATAGAGAACAGGGAGATGGATCTCTTGCAAAAGGAAAGGGATTCAGCTCAGTGATCTGGTGCCCGCCTCGCAAGCGCAAGGAGCCCAGTTCAATCCCCAGTACCAAAACAATAAAAAAGAAAAGTAAAAAAAAAAAGTGGGGCGAGAGATGGAGGGGGGAGGGGAAGGCGATAAGGAAGCGTGAAGGTGGTGACGGTGCGCTGTGGGTCTGCGGACCGATCCAGGTAGAAGAGAAGCGAAGCGAGTAAGGGCTTGCACAGATTCCCACCGGGATGACCTCAGGGTAGAACCGTCTCACCTTCCTTCGCCCCGGGCGTTTGGGTTCCGGGCGCCGTCCTCTGGCCCAGGAAGTCGTGGTTGGCGATGGCCACCGCAGAGGTGCCGTGGTCGGAGGTCGCCCCGGTGCTGGTGCCCATGGACTTGGAGATGACCTTCAGCTTATGCGAGCCCGGCCTGCAGTGCTTCTTCTTGTGCCTCACCTTGGAGTTGTGCTTCAGGAAGAACTCGCAGGACTCCTGCAGCACTCGGCGGCTCTCGCCTGGCCCAGGAAGTCGTGGTTGGCGATGGCCACCGCAGAGGTGCCGTGGTCGGAGGTCGCCCCGGTGCTGGTGCCCATGGACTTGGAGATGACCTTCAGCTTATGCGAGCCCGGCCTGCAGTGCTTCTTCTTGTGCCTCACCTTGGAGTTGTGCTTCAGGAAGAACTCGCAGGACTCCTGCAGCACTCGGCGGCTCTCGCTGATCGGACTGCGAACCGGCAGAGAAGGCCGTCAGTGCCCGCAAGTTAGGTCCTGCCTGACGCACATTAGCTGTGCAACCCCGCTTTCTCTACTTCCGTCAGCAGAAACTGTAAACTGGTCAGGAACTCAACAGACCAAAATCAAGAACGGAGGGGAGGGAGGGCAGGCCAGGTACAGGGAGGGTGGGCTGGATTCGCATCATAGCGAAGCACAGCAGAGGAAAGTGAGCCAGGAGAAAAGGGCGGGACACAGGGAGGGTGCTGGCTTACATTGCATCGTTCTCTTCTTAAAATAAGGCTTACAATTAATTCTACTGTCTTGGGTAAAAAGGCTTTGGTATTAGGATCTGTTTATTTTCAAACATGTCAGACAACTCGTGAGGCTCTTACTCTCTCTTGCGATTTCGTTTAAAAAACCCAGCCCATTCTGTGCAGGTCTTTTTGCTTCCAACCCAGAAGATGGCAGAGATGCCCACGATCAGCGTCATCAGGTATTTTATCATGAATAACGCCAGTTCCGGTCGGGCTGTGGCTTTCACCTACAGAAGAAAATACGATATATTTCAAATACCAATATAAAACTAGGATGAACTCTATAAATCTGTGTCTCACTATAAAAGGTCTGAAATGTATAATATAATGAATAACATTTAAGTGCAACGTATTTTTAAACCATGCTCTGAACAAATAGCCTTTAGGGGCATATCAAAATAGATCTCCTGAAGAGGAAAAATATTAAAACATACTTAGTATTTTTAGATTTTTGCCAAATTTAAATTTTGGCATGATTTCCTCACCTCTTCCCTACTGGTACAGCTGCCTCTTATAATTGCTAAATATTTGCCTATTTTCTTTCACCAAAACCTGCCATGAAAAATATATCTAAACTTATAACGACAACATATTTTACAGTCTTCACACATTCGTGATTATGTGATAAAAACTTGTTTGGCCAAAGTAAAATAAGTGTCAGTAAAACGTGGAAAGTATAGAAATTTCATAAAAATTAAAATCATACTTTTGTTTGAAGCATAAACTTTCAAATGCTACTTTAAATTATTGTGTAAGTATCAAAATGTTACGCTGTCTTCGTTGTCTTTGCCTCTTGTATTCCCTACCATTTTTTGGAGCCAACACCCACACCCACAAAGCCTTTCCTTCCTTGCCAAGGCTTGGTCTGTTGTGTGGGCGAACTAGGACGTACTCCACAAGCCCTGCTGAAGGCTGTTTAGGGTACGCCCAACCTGCAGGTAATCTGCAATGATTCTCTTCACATTATGCAGAATGATCTTCAATCTGATACACTATGAGGATAGCACTCGTGTTCAATAATGCTGTAATCCATATGGAAGAAAGGTGTGCAAGATCTACTTTAAAAAAGCAAATTTTCCATTAAGATCTCAAAAACACTTTAATTTTTTTTATTTTCAGAAACTTATTTTTAAATCTGAAAAACCTTCCCTCCTACTAATCTTAAGCATTAGAAACACAGAAGACGTAGTCTGCGTGAGTTCTACTTTGAGTGTGCTCTTTTTTTCACTTAAATGACAGTATAGGTTAGGCAAAAATCAAATTCTATTTTTAAAAGTATATGCAGACATTCCTTGCTTACTGACCACGTGTCATCCTGTGACTAGGGTGTTAAACGAGGAGCTGTGTGTAGTACACACGTCACAAGTTTCAAAACTTAAACGGTCAAAGGAAACACCAATCCATGACTCTGCTTTTATGTGCGTGACTCTTGCACGCAGGTCTGTGATGTGTAACCACGTAAAATACAGTACCGTCAGGACAAACGGCAAGGTGTTCGGTACAAAGGGCGCGGAGACTCATTAACAAGATGCACAGAACTGTATCCCCCAAAATAAATAAACAAACAAGAAGGGCCGCAAGTGCGAGCTGCAGGCCGCAAGCCTAATGGCGAGCCTGGATCTTTCTGAAGTCCCGACTGCCATTAAACGAGGACTGTCTTCACCATGCCGGAATTGTCAGGTAAAGTAGTCAAACCGACCCAGTAAGGGTTTCCGGTTCTGCAGCGGCTCTCTTCCCTCTCTCCCGAGGCCCACTCATCACTGCCAGGCTGCCTTTTCAACCCAGCTGAAAGTCCTCAGGATCAAAGGGGCACCGCTGGCTAGTGCACGAGTGCTACAGCGTCAGAAAGCTCTCTCGGGACACCCACCGGAGTCTCAGCGCTTGCATGGGAACCGTTCGCCATGTATGCCGGATTGCCCAGCCGAAATCTAACTTCACACCCATGACCCACATGAGCACACTTCCAGGAACATTTTCCACACCACGAACAGCGACACGATCCAGCTCGTACCTGGTACGGACACGGGATGTGGTACTGACGACAGTGGTCAGAGACCCACGTGATCTCCCAGGTCACCCTGTTCACCTGCTCGTACACGTAACACCCCAGCAGTGTCACCAAGGGCACGAGGTACAGGCCGCTGAAGACCCCGATGCGGATCATGAACTTCTTCAGCTTCTCCTGGTTGCGGCCATCGTGCTGGATGACTTGGCGCACGTGGTTCAAGGAGACGATGCCAGCCAAGAGCAGGGACAGCCCCACGAACACACACAGGCACAGCGGCAAAAGCACAAAGTAGCGGGAGGCGGTCAGGTCGTAGAGGCCGACGAAGCAGACTCCACTGATGTTGTCCCCCTCCACCTTGTTCATGGCCAGCAGCATGACAGTCAGGAAGCCGGGGATTCCCCACGCCACTGCGTGGAACCACACCGCCTTCTGCTCGATGGCCTCACAGCTCCACTTCCTGCCCGCAGCGAGGAACCAAGTGATGGTCAGGATCACCCACCACACTGTGCCCGCAGTGGTGAAAAAATACAGGAACATAAACAAAACGGAGCAGGCCTTGTTCTGGGAGCCCAGGACCACGGTCGCCCCGAGCTCCTGCTTCCCGTCGGCCTTGTTGCAGGCTGTGTGGTCACCAAGCAAAAACCCGATGAAGTACATGAGAGACACGATGCTGTAGCAGACAGAGTAGTATATGATCGGCCTCTCTGGGTACCGGAACCGTCTCACATCAATCAAAAAGGTGAGAAATGTGAACAGAGTTGCACAAAGGCAGAAGATTGAAACTATCCCAATGAAGCTTTTTGCGAATTCTAACTCATCGCTTTTGAAATACATGTTGGGGCATGGAGGTGCACACTGCTCGATCCCCAGGAACTTATAGCCCTGCCCCCCAGAAGTCTTCAGGTGCCTCGGACACCAGAATCCGATGTCTCGCTGGACTTGTTCATTTTTCTTCTGGGGACCAAGAGATCTTCCGTGTGGATTGAGAGTGGGAACCGTCTCATTACAGCACTGCAGCCTGTAATTATAAATGAAGCCGGTGAAGCTCACATTTGCATCGATTTGCGTGATATGCTTTCCAGCTGCAAAACATCACCTCATACATCCAAAACCGATGGGAAGATGCACAAACCTAAATGCATCACAGCTTAGGGATGGGAAAAGGTGTGAATTACTAAAGATCTGTGGTGTGTCAGGAGGCCTCAACACACCAGTGCAAATTAAACACAAGGCAGACATCAGCCAAATACTTTCTAAATCATTTCTGCTTTTAAGACTATTTAAGAGAGAATTTACTTGAGCTGGTTCTCTCCTGACAAAAAAAGAACTGGCTTGTCTGCTTAGAGCACAGGAAACTTAGGTTTGGAGAAATTCGCTCTCCTCTCTCTGGCGGTGCTGAGGATTGAACCCCGGGCAGTGCACGTGCCAGGCCCCAGTCCCCACCCTTGTCGTGGGAGCTACAGAATGAGATTCTTCCTCAGATGGACAGCATTGTGCTCAAGTTCCTAAGCGAGGCCAAGAGGCCGCAAGGAGTGGGACCATGACCACCTGCTCCCTTCCCTGCCCCATTCTGTGTAGGGCTGGGGACACGGGACATATCCCGTGTGTATAGAGCTATGGCTGTGTGTGGCTCAAAAGGCAGTCAGGGTTTTAAGGAGAAACCGTTTTAAATATATTTATATAACAGCAGCGAGTAATAAAATAAATGCCCATAAAATGGATACTTGTGTATTTATTGGCTTTATTAAAATGCAATATGTCAGCTTTGCTAGGATTAGGGTTTTAATCAGAAATTCCCTTTTTTCTTCATGTTTTTAAAGTAAGATGCCACAAAAGACTGAAGGTTTAATTTCTAGAACTGAAGAAAAGTAAGATCTCTCTAGTACAGAATAAACCAGAATTATTCCTGCGTACATTTGACCCAGTCTCCATTTTGTAAAAGGCCTCACTTCCTATTAGTGGGCTGCAGTTTAACATTGGGTGAACGTAATTTCTTTAAAGCAGAGATTCTACTTACCAATTCCATGCATGAAGCATTCTCCAACATGAAATACATTGCATTGTGTTTAATTATTTTTAAAAAGTGTCATTTTCTCAACAAAATTGATCTACAAAGATGCAGGTGGCACGGAAATGTCTGTAAGCTGCTGTGCTCAGGGCCCTGCTGCTGTGCAGCCAGTGCGACCACAGTGTGCTCCGTGCCCCTGGGCCGTCACTGTCCTTGGTGATGTCCACGTGGACAGTGCATGGCCACTCTGGTTTCCCGCCTCCTTCCCTCCTTGTCTCGGTGGACCTTGCCTATCCCCGACCCCTGCAGTCACAGTAACCAGGAAACCCACCACTGCCCGAGGGACGCCTAGGTCCACAAGCGCCACCCCAGAGGCCTGGGGATTAACACACGTCTGCCCTGCACCTCACCACTCCTCCCCTGCGTCTCTGTTCCACCCTTGTCCGGCCCTCGCCGCAGTAACACCCTCTCCCCGGCCAGAGCCACAGACAAACCCCACAGTGCGCTCTGGACTCAGCCCCAGGCATCCCGAGGTCCAGGTCCCCGCTGGTCACAGGAGACCCAGCAGGCTCTGGCGCCCTGGCAGCCTTTGCTGCAACCTCTTTCTTTCTCGCGCTCGGGCGCAGTCCTTCTCTGAGGCTGCTGGGATCCCGGCTGCTCTGGTCCTTCCCCCTCGCCATGCCCTCTTCCCAGACTCTGCCTCCTGCCTTCCTGGCTCTGGCAGGCAATGGTTCTTTTCCATCACAGCCAAACCCCAAGGGGCCCTCCGTGTGTCCCCTCGCTGTCCCCACCCCTGCCCACCACAGCCCGCCCTGTGCCCATCTCTGAGGAGCAAGAACGTGGTCTTCAGGACTGCGGCACCGGCCTTTCCCAGCAGCAGACACACATCTCTGTCTCCCGGAGTGCGGCCGGGCCGGGTGCTGCTCATCGGACCCAGAGGAACTCACATGGCAGAGGTGAGGCCTGGGCGAAGAGGCCAGCGGGCTGCCACCCTCTCTCCCCACCCAAGTGGCCATCAGAGCCACACAAAGGGAGCAGCAGGGTCCCTGAGCACGGCCAGGGAGCCTCCTCCCGACACAGGGACACGTGTGTCCTGTGTGCCTGCACCGAGCCTGCAGCGCAGCCCGCTCGCCTCTCTGTGTCCTGCCTCACACCGGTCTTCCATGCTCTGAGCGGCAAGCGGCAGGGCTTCCCATCACACAAGCCCTGCACACCCCTGTCCCAAGGCCCTGGGCAGCTTTCAATGGCCCGAGCGCACCTCCTCTCTCCGCCTCGCACCCACCATGGCCCTCACAGGTCGGGGCACCGGGACGCGTTCCCAGAACTGCGCACGGCCCCCTGGTTGGCTCCGTCCCAGCTGTTACTCGGCACTTGCTGCCCGTAACTTGGTGCCTGTCCCTCCAGTTTTGGCTCTGTATGCTGCCAGCCACTGCCTTTGATGCCGGGCACGTACTAAGCCTGTGACAAGGTCTCTGGCCCACGTGAGGGGCTGCCATTGTCACCGACACCTGCACAGGGAGCCATAGCAGAGCACCGTGGACAGCATTCAGGAGAAACACTGCTCACCTGCCACATTCGAGTTCCTCGGGCCACCTGATCCCAAAGGTGTCCATGATGCTCTTGCAATCCGAATACACTTTCTCACAGAACCCACGGCAAGGTGGGACCACGTGAACGTGCTCTGTGCAGCGCGGTATAAAAGCTTGGCAAAGGAAAGTCTCGACATTTGGTGAACAGTCCAGATTCGCAAGAGGAAGAAAGTGCTGTTAGGAAAAACAGAAAGACAGGTTAGACGCTTTCATTACAAGTGAACAGAATGAATTCATTTACTGTTAAGGGTATGCTTTTACCCTGAAAGAATCTTGGAATCTCCTCCCTTCAGTCAAAGTGTGAGGAGTAACTTTTTTTTTTTTTTTTTTTTTTTT